AAAAAAAAAAAAAAAAAAAGACATAAGACTTTGAGGTCCACGGGCTCTCCCCATATTCTGGCCTAGAAAAGTGTCCCCATCACCCTCTTGCCTTCCTTGGACAGATGGCAAAAGAGTGTCTGGGGCAGATGAACTCTGGAGGCTCAAGAGGAAACATTCAGGGCTGCCTGCAGCAGTGCTGAGGCTGCAGTTTAATTTTCTTTGACATCAGTGGTAGAATTTGTCCACTAGGGGCCGGGCATGGTGGCTTACACCTGTAATCCCAGCACTTTGGGAGGCTGACGTGGGTGGATCACCTGAGCTCAGGAGTTTGAGACCAGCCTGGCACACATGATGAAACCCTGTCTCTACTAACAATACAGAAAAATTAGCCAGGCATGGTGGTGGGTGCCTGTAATCCCAGCTACTTGGGAGGCTGAGGCAGGAGAATTGCTTGAACCCAGGAGGCAGAGGATGCAGTGAGCCAAGATTGCACCATTGTACACCAGCCTGGGCAACAAGAATGAAATTCCATCTCAAAAAAAAAAAAGCTGGGGAGACAGCAGGTCCCAGACAGACAGACATGGCCCACTGACTGGCTTGGCCCAGGGGAGATGCTGCTGGAACAAGAAAACCTCCCTGATGGTTCTTGGAAGTGGGAGCTGGCCCCAGGCCCTCTATCTGCCGCTTATCTCCCTCGCAGTGGCTGCTGCTTCTTCACTCAGACTATCTGGCCCCAGCTACAGAGACCTCATAGCTACAGAGACCTCATCATATGAAGGGAAAGAGGTTGTAGCATTCTCAGTAGGGCCCAGGTCGCAAACACCTCCCTACTGCCTGTCTCATATGCTTTTTTTTTTTTTTTTTTTTTTTTTTGAGACAGAGTCTTGCTCTGTTGCCTAGGCTGGAGTGCAGTGCCACAATCTCAGCTCACTGCAACCTCTGCTTCCCAGGCTTAAGCGATTCTCGAGTCTCAGCCTCCCAAGTGGCTGGGACTACAGGCATACACCACCATCCCCAGTTAATTTTTGTATTTTTAGTAGAGACGGAGTTTTGCCATGTTGCCCAGGCTGGTCTCAAACTCCTGAGCTCAGGCATTCCATCTGCCTTGGTCTCCCAAAGTGCCAGGAATACAGGCATGAGCCACAGTGCCCGGCCCCTTATGCCTCTTAACTTTACATCTCTGGGTCAGAATATGATGGGAACTTTCCCTTTCTTGAGGACCTCCAAGGAATGTGATGTCTGTCACTCCCAATTCTCCTATTGAGAAGGAAAAGCCAGTATAGGACAGACTACTCTGGGCCAGATGATTTCCATCTTTGCTTCACTTAATCCTCATAACAACCTTGAAAGGCAGATGTTAATTATACCCATTTCACAGATGCAGAAACTATAATTCAGAGAGATTAGGAAACATGCCCACAGTCACCTGGCTGGTAAAAGGTGGGGCTGGGAATGAATTCAGATCTTTGCAGAATTATACCTCACGGCCCTCCCTGGGCCATGGCTCTTTTTCACTGCCTGGAAGGCCTGTTTGAAGAATTAAACAAGGTATCAGACTGGTCTGAATACTGTAAGAAAAATAAAAAAGGAATGAAACAAGGTGATGCTTGAGAAATCTTTGGCACCGGATCCATATTAAGTGACCCTCTCAGAGCAAAGTCAACACTCAAACGACAAGGGGAGAAATATGCACAGCTGCTTTTCACAAAGGTGCTCGACCTTGACTGCGCATTGAAATCACCTGGGAAGCTTGTAAAACTCAACATACCCGGACTGCGCCTCAGCCTAATATGATCAGAGCCTCTGGGGGCAAAGCGCAGACATGACTGGTTTTTACATTTCCCCAGGTGATTCTACTCTATAGCCAAGATTGGGAGAACTCTGGAGACGGTAGTTCAGTTTCAAGCCTCCCAGGAGGAAGCTTACTAGAGAGTCTAAGACATAAAGAATGTGTCCATCAGAAGGTGCAGAAAGGGGCCGGGCACAGTGGCTCACACCTATAATTCCAGCACTTTGGGAGGCTGAGGCAGGCAGATCACTTGAATCCAGGAGTTCGAGACCAGCCTGGCAACATGGCAAAACCCTGTCTCTACAAAAATACAAAAAAAAAAAGAAAATTAGCCAGGATGGTGACATGCACTTGTGGTCCCAGTTACTAGGAAAGCTGAGGTGGGAGGATCATTTGAGCCAGGGAGGCAGAGGCTGCAGTTAGCCAAGATCATGCCCCTGCACTCCAGCCTGGGTGACAGAGTGAGAAGACCCTGTCTACCTCAGAAAGGCAGCATCACAGAGCCTGCCCTGATAGTGACAATCAGCCACATCTGGAGCAGAGGACCCGGCCAGGGCCAGTACACCTCCCATCCTAGAGGCACTTTAGCCGTGCACATGGAGGCACCAGGCCCTATTGAAGCTATCTTGTGACCAGCTGCTGGTTCTGATGCCCAGCTCGACAGGCCAGCTTCCCACCACATCATGGTGATGGGAAGAAAATGGACACATCACTTACATCTCTTTTTGTAAATGAACTCATTGACATTCTAATAAGAATTACTTTTGCTTTGACAGTTACAGTAAATCAACAGATTGACCTTCAGGTGTAATTTTGGTAAATATAGACCTCCCTGAAAGACAATTCCTGTTGGTCAGCTGAGGAATCTGGTTTCTGATTCAGGCTTATCCCTTGGACTGGGGTGAATTCACCAAGAAACCATCTTGAGGTATCCTGGGAGATGTCAACCAGCCTCTTCTGATGCAACCAGCCTAGCCACGGACTTTATGTTTAACTTTCAGAGCAGAGACTCCATGTCAGCAAATTCCTCGCCTCCTTCCCTCCTCTCATATAGTTTTGGCTTTTTGTTTTGTTTTTTTGTTTTTTTTTTTTTTTTT